GAGGGAAACAGGAACAACAACGATACAAATAAGGAGAAAACACAACCACGAACCGTACAACAGCCGCTCTCCCGAAACCGGACCGGCGCTGCGCCCGCCCAAGCCGCGAGTGCCTTCCCGCCGCCCCGCCCCCCCCACCGGAACCCAGCGTGACGTCACATGGTATGGAATACCGGGCTCTGTTTGGCCAGGTGGGGTCAGCCCCCACCCCCTGGCTGTGCCCCTTCCTGGAGTCCGGTGAAAATTAACCCTGTCCTGGCCAAACCCAGGACACCTTTAGTATTTGTCTTCTGATAAGCAGTGAGAGTTGGGATTCCAAAGATATAATGCTGGCCTAATTTTACTTATTTTCCTTAGAATTCGGTAGACGTTGCTGAATAACGGATTATATAGCTAGGCAGTTTCAGGATTAAAAAGGAAGTTGATATTACATTAGTAATTCATTTTTTTCTAAATTCCATGGTGTTTGAGGTTACTACTGTGCTAAATATTCTGAGATAATTTTGAAAATGAGGATAGTCTGAGAATTTAGATCAAAATCCAGTAAAACCTGTGATTCTCAAAGTTTTAGTCTCCCAGTGGGTGTTTTGGTCTTTGAATTTGTAATAGTTCAGAGTTCTGCTGCCACTATATGCGCTAGACTGCTCCATGTTTTTCTGTATTTGTTTATTTAACATAACCTCGTGATGCTGTCTAGTAAATACACTACATCTATCTGGACTTCTGTAACACCTTTGACACGATCCCCCACAACATCCTTCTCTCTAAATTGGACAGATACGGGTTTGATGGGTGGACTGTTCGGTGATGAAGAGTTGGTTGGATGGTTGCATCCAGAGGGTAGCGGTCAACGGCTCAATGTCCAGGTGGAGACTGGTGACAAGTGGTGTCCCTCAGAGGTCCGAATTGGGACCAGTACTGTTTAATATCTTTGCCAGTGGCATAGACAGTGGGATTGACTGTACCCTCAGTAAGCTGGGTGGTGCAGTCGACACGCCTGAGGGACGGGATGCCATCCAGAGGGACCTGGACAAGCTGGAGAGGTGGGCCCTGGTGAAGCTCATGAGGTTCAACAAGGCCAAGTGCAAGGTCCTGCACCTGGGGCAGGGCAACCCCTGGTGTCAATACAGGCTGGGGGATGAAGGGGTGGAGAGCAGCCCTGCTGAGAAGGACTTGGGGGTGCTGGGTGAGGAGAAGCTCAACATAACTCAGCAGTGTGTGCCAACCTGGCAGTCCCCTGGGCTGCGTCCCCAGCAGTGTGGGCACAGGGTGAGGGAGGAGATTCTGCCCCTCTGACCTGCTCTGCTGAGACCACCCCACAGGACAGAGCTGGAGCTGTGGGAGTGGGGCCAGAGGAGGCCCCAGCAGTGATCCGAGGGCTGGAACCCCTCTGCTGGGAGGAAAGGCTGGGAGAGCTGGAGCTGCTCAGCCTGGAGAAGAGAAGCCTGCAGGGAGACCTTAGAGCAGCTGCCAGTACTTAAAGGGGGCTTATAAGAAAGATGGGGACAGACTTTTTAGCAGGGTCTGCTGCAATAGGACAAGGGGCAACAGTTTTAAACTGAAAGAGCGTACATTTAGGCTGGATATAGGGAAGAAATTTTTTACAATGAGGGTGGTGCAAGTTGGGCCCAGGTTGCCCCGGGAGGTGGTTGATGCCCCATCCCTGGAAACTGTCAAGGTCAGGTTGGACAGGGCTCTGAACAACCTGAGCTGGGTGAAGATGTCCCTGCTCATTGCAGGAAGGTAAAGGTCCCTTTGAACCCAAACCATTCTATGATTGTGTGTTGGGCATTGTGGAATACCTGGGGTTTTTTTGTTATTTTGTTTTACTAGTGGCTAAATTTTCTGTAAAATGCTGCACAATTTTCTTAGTTTGATTCTCAGTGCACGTGGATTTTTAATAATGTGAACTCTTTCACAGAACGTAGTTTCTTTTCCACTGTTTCTGAATTGAAAGAGTCCGAGTAGATTTGTTTGTTGTTTTTTTTTCCGCGGGCTTCATATATCTGCTGGAATTTCCATTTTTAACAACAGCAATCTTTTTGGCAAAAATTAATCACAGCTGCTCCATAATCATCTTGAGTATTGTTTGAATTATATTCTGCTTTGTTAGTGAAGTTTTCCTAATGAAGTAAAGCTTTCGTAACACAGCAGTACTGGAAAGCATTGTGTTAGAAGCTCTTCTGTCCAGGGCAATTATGGTAAATATACCTCTTTTTCTGTCAGTGCTCCTCCTGAGATCTTGTGCTTTCTTGCGACCCTGAATAGGGTTCTACTTCTGGAATGCCAGGGCAGAGTCTGGAGCCACTTTGTCAACTTTTTATTTATTTGCTTGAACTTAGTTAAAGTATTTGTCCTTTGTTTTAGTAATCAGCTTTGGCAGCCAGGTGACGACTTCATCAAAGCTTAATTTTTAATTATTGTTTATTTAATGACAAAAAGAAAACGTAGGGAAGATAAGATTTCAAACAAACAGATTGCATTCATGTCTGTTATACCTTAAGCCTTAATATTCCCTGTAGGTCACAATAATATTCCGTTCTTTGGCAGGCTGAATTTTAAAACTTTGCTGGTTTTACAATGTTTCTACCTGCGTGAAAATAGATTTATTAACTGGATTATGTTTAAAAAAAAATCAGGAAATATAGAAATAGTGTTGTAGAGAACAACATAAAAAACCTGAAAATTCAACACATCTCCAGAAGAATATTTCATATTTTTCCTATGCGTAGGATTTATGAAGAACATTAAAATGTATGTTTAATTGTTTTCCTAGGCTTGCATTGCAGTGTACTAATGTGAACTAACAGAATTGTCTATTAGTTGTATAGGAAGTTATAGCAGTTTCAGAAAATCATACATTGCTTGTGTAGTACAAAGTATATTTATGAAAATGTGGTTGCATTACATGAAAACTAGGTAATCTGAAGCTGAAATAATGTGACTAACAACCGGTATAGCAGGTGAAGATGGTTTCTCAAATTGATTGCCAGTTCTTCTGAATGTAATTTGTGCGCCAGCTTTGGGTAGTCATGATGGACTGGGTGTAAGTAAATTATACTGTTTGCAAGTAAGGAGATTAGTGCATTCAAGGGATGTTTCACTACGTAGAAGGTAATGGTTCACCTTTGCATTCTCTGTTCAGAGATTTGGAATAAACCTGCTCTATAGAAATGTAGTTGATTGTTTTTTTCACATGGTTTCTTTAAAAATTCTGTTGCAGAGTCACTTGTTTATGTGCTCAGTTTGAAGCTGTGTTACAGCATGGTCTGAGGAGGAGTCGAGGATTAGCATTAACAGCAGCAGCGATCAAACAGGCAGCGGGTTTCTCCAGTAAAGCTGAAACAGGTAATTCATTAATCGTAACTATTCTATTTTAAACAGTTGATAAGTGCAAGCAAGTGATACAATTTCTAATGGAAGTTTTAAGCAATGCACCAAACTACAGACTTTTGGTGGCATACTTGATACTTGGACTCTCATTAAGCAGTGAAAATGGTTTTTGCGTTCTTAATCTAGTGTAACTTTAATACCAAGTTTCTCTAGAAATTGTGGTGTTTGGAAATCCTCACTTCCTACAGTTTCATCATGAGTAGTATTACTGCAAGTTTCTTTTGAATTCTGGTAGAGATAAACATGATACAAGTGTTCTGTTAAGTTTTTACTACAACATTTTTGTTCTTAACCTTGCCTTACGCTGTTCTTTACCGTATTCTGTAGGATCGGATATGTTTAACTTCTAAGTATTCATGTCCTTTTAAAAGCAAAGCTTACATTACTTACTGATTGGGTTGTTTTTTATTACTTTCTCTGCATTTAAATAAAAGATTCCTTTATTTTTGTTGCCTTCTCTTCACCTTGAAGTTTCACTTGTTTTTTTATCAAAAATGTGTGAAGGTGTTAATCTTCATCAGTTTTGTTGTAAAGTTTGACATACAGTATCTTTTTTTTTTACACAAGGTACACATAATATGAAGAAGTTTCTTTTTGGCTTTTGAAACTCCTGCAAGTATAACACATAATGTTTGTGGGTGGTTTTTTTTTTTGACAAATACATTCATTGGTACTAGGATTGTTAATACATTTTGATCTCCAGCCATAACTTCCAGTTACACCAGACAACTGCATATAATGGGTATTACATTAACACAAAATGTGTAGTTTGATGTAATGGTGTTTTTGAATTGCTGTGGATAATAGGCTGAAGTGTTGGGTGTTGTGTGCTGACTTTCCTGCTAATGGGTTAGCTTTTTTGGGGAACTAAAATAGCTATGCTTTTAGAGAAGTTGGTGAGTTTCTCATGTTTGCCTCTTTTACTTAGTAATGGGCAAGACTCGACACTCTGTGGACTCTAAATCATAGAATCATAGAAGAGTTCGAGTTGGAAGGGATCTTTAAGGGTTATCTAGCCCAACCCCCGTGCAGTGAGCGGGGACATCTTCAACCAGATCAGGCTGCTCAGAGTCCCGTCCAGCCTGGCCTTAAATGTTTCCAGGGATGGGGCATCGACCACTTCCCTGGGCAACCTGTGCCAGGATTACAGAATCACAGAATGTTCGGGGTTGGAAGGGACCTCTGTGGGTCATCTAGTCCAACTCCCCTGTTGAAGCAGGGTCACCTAGAGCAGGCTGCACAGGACCTTGTCCAGGTGGGTCTTGTAAAAAATTTCTTTCTTATCTAGCCTAAACCTATCCTCTTTCAGTTTAAAACTGTTACCCCTTGTCCTATCAAATGAACAAGCAAGAAAAATTCAACTCTTGAACCAATATTTATAGACTTTTGAGCTCTTCTGTATGTTTTTTTTTCCCTTGTGTGTGTTTGTAATTGGGGATTAGATACTCTGTGATCTCTTTCAGCTTCTGGGTAGTTTCCATCTCTTTAATGTGTAGTGATTTGGTTATGTGCTTTTTATCCACTCGGCTTGCAACTGAGTGTGTTACACTTTGGTGCAGAGAATGTTCTCCCCTGTTACACTCTCTGATTTATGCAAACAGTGTGTCTTTAAATTTGAAGACATTACATATAATTCTTATGATTTCTCATCTATTAGTAATATCAAGGTGTATGAAATTTTTGGTTCTACCTTTTAGTGGTCAGATGTACAGAAGTGTATCTGATACTTGGCAACTTCGTGACAGTTTATATGTTCATGTGTATGTGTGTTGTGTTTGGGGGCTTGTTAGTGGGGTGATGTGGAGGAAGAGGAGAAAGTTGGGAAAGTTATCTATGGTTGGGGGATGGAAGAAGGAAGAAAACATAATGTTTACTTCTTAGGAAACTTAAGCAATGTGTGGAAGTTCAAGAACAAAAACACTGCTTTGCAGCAAATTGAATGCTGTACAGGGACTAAGAAGAGAACCTTTTTTTTTTTGTTGGTGGAAATTACTGGGTTCCACTGCATTTATCTTTGTGAATTAGCGTTGTGGGTTGTTGTTTTTTTCCCCCTGAAAGCAATTGCGAAATACTTCTATATTTTTATCACTTTCAGGCAAATGAATCTGGTGTGATTTATATTCCATTCTGTCTAATGTAATTACAGGTGTCATCTATTTCTTTAACATAATGGAATACTGCTGTTTAGACTATCCATTCAGGCTTTGACAATTGAAAAATAAAATGTGCATCATTTTGTTTCTAAGACCTTCTGTGTTTTACTTTTTTTTTCTTAAATGAAAATAAAAGTTTAAAATAAAAGCTCAAGTAGTAGTTCTTTGGAACTATGGAATCCTATTTAAAAATATTTTAATTTTTTTAATAGCTATTCAAGTAGATAAATTCCTAACACCAGTGTGATTTGGTACCAGTTGATGGCATGGTCATTACAGGCATATGCAGCTCCTTTGATCTTATATTAAGTGATCTAAACAAAACCGGCAAACAATAAAACTGTGTTCTGTCTTTAGTTTGTAACAATATGAGGGTCTCTTTATTTAACTCCAGTTAAGGTTATGTAAGAATACTGTAGCTGATGCAGTATTCGCTAAAAATTGTTAGGGTAATGTTGTTGAAAGGTTCTAAATAGATCAAATATTCCATTGCCTCTGGCTGCTCTTTCTACGGTTTTATTAGAGAGGTTCACAGAATCACAGAATAGTAGGGGTTGGAAGGGACCTCTGTGGGTCATCTAGTCCAACCCTCCTGCT